CTTGTGATTATTTGAATTCTTCTTGACTTGATTGATTAGTTTGAGATTAGTTTTGCTTGAAATCATTGTCTTTACTCATTTATGTGTTTTCTCTTCTTTTCTTTTTGTTCGGGACGAAAAAAGGTTTTAGTGTGGGGGGGTTGTTTGTCCCATTTTTGTTATGATTTTCGTGCTTATTTTACCTTTTTTTTCTCCATTTTAGGTAGTTTCTTTCATTTTTAGTTCGTTTAGTGTTTTAGTATGTGTTTTCTTCTCATTTGAGTCTTTGTGAGTTTTTCGTGTATTTTTTCTCGTTTTATGTTTCGTGTTTTGTTGTGTATGATGGTAGGAAGGAAGTTCGGGCGAGTATTCTTTTGAAGGAAAAATTGGTTTGGAAGCATAACTAAATAGAGGAGCTCGTAGGCAACACGTAGCAAAAAACGGAAGTCAATTCCGAGTCCGGATAAGCGCATACGAGCCCGAACAATGAATCGAAAAATTCCTTCGTCGCTGGCCATGAGGGAAGTCACGTGCAGCGAGTGAGGTCGCGAGCGAGGGATGTCGCGGGGCGCGAAGGAACACAAAAGATTTTTCTGCTCGCTGATGTCACAGCCGCGGGGCAAGTCGCGGCCACGAAGTTGCCTTCGTCATGGGCCGTGAAGCTAGTCGCGGCCGCGAGATCATCTTCGTCGCGGGCCGCGAGACCTGGATTTTGCTGGTTTTGTGGCTTTTTCCCCTCTTTTTCTCCTTAGTGGATGATAGTGGCGATTTTTGGGCATGTTTGGGGAATTTGCATCTGAAATTTGGGGCTAAACACTATAAGAACACCCTCCATTTCCATCTATGATCATCCAACACTTTGATTCATAATTCTTCTTCAAGATTTTCCTTCATTTTTCCTATGTTTTTCTTAAGTTTGTATTTTGGTTTGTATTGAAGACATTGTTGTACTTGGATTAAGTTGTGCATTTGCTCTTGTGGAATTCTCATTACAAGTAAGTTATCTATTTCATTTTATCTATGTTAAAGATGGCTTGTTTTAATGTGAATGATTATGTTAAACTTATTATGAACAACTAATCTTCTAACTAGGGTTAGGGGATAATCATTTCGGTTTGTTCTTACTTATGTGTATGTCAATTACTCAATCTTTACGAGTTTTACTTATTTCACGATTGAATGCTTGATCACCATTTTAATCTAAATAATCAATTTCAAAACCGAGAGGGGCGAAATTGGTAGAACTTGGCTCGTTTAGAGTAGACATGTTCGGAAACGTATTGTCTATGTGTTAATTGTCTCGTTAATTTAGTCATTGATGTTTTTCCGTATATTACGAGAGTCAGTAAGGCAAAAATGCTAAATGAGTTAGTTAATCGAGCCTTTTAACCGAGTAATTGATTGCCGTCAAATTTATGTTAAACCGAAGAAAATTGTCCCTGATACCCTAGTCATTTACATCCCTTGGAATTACCTTCATCATTTTTGCTAGTTTATATCTCTTTGAATCATTTTTATAAGTTGTGATATTAAATTGTTCTAGTTAAAAATCATTAGTAAAAATCAAAACCAACAACTTGAATTAGAGTGTGTAGGATTGTTTTCATTTTAGTTTTTGTGAACGAATAAACGTACCAAATAGTCCGGCTAACCTTCCTTGAGAACACGACCCGGTGTTCGAATCTTTTGATTCTACTCCGGTAAAATAAACTACAACAGTGTTCAGAATGACTAACATTTGCCCTAGGTTCGATATTAAAAGCTCCTCCAATTCAAAATCCAAAAAAAAATCACGTCTGCTTTAAACAGACCTTAGCGGCGCTAAGGTGCCTTAGCCGTTCGAGCCAGTATCGTGTAGCACCGCTATCCTGTGTGCCTTAGCGGCGCTAAGGCTCTGGCAGCCTGCTGGACTTTGCTTCTCAGGTCCATTTGTGTTCGTTTCAACTCGGAAGTCGATTCCGCTTTTTCCTGTGTGTTCCCAACGAGCTCCTCTATTTAATTTAGCTTGCCCGACTAACTTTCACCTGAAATCCAGTCCTCCCGAGGCTTCCGACCTACACACCATAAACAAAGAAAAATAAAAAAAATACACGGAAAACACATGAAAGACTAAAATAGAGCGAACCACGAAATAAACTACAAAACGAACTAAAAACCAACTAAAAGACCTAATATGGGGTAAAAAGAAAAGAAAAATAATGAAGAAAAATACAACAAAAGTGGGATAAACAGCGACCATCGTGCATTGTACGCTATCACCACACCACGCCAGCGCTTGCCCAACGCATGCCAGGCTAACGCAACAAGTACCCAATGATTACGCACGCCACCTACACACGACCCTGGAAATAACATGCATCCCTGACGAAGAAGTGCAACTCCCAGTGACCGTCAAGTGTTCAGATGAGACACGTGGTCAAGGCCTGAAGGATAAAGAGTGAAGATCATCACATAACTGTTCATCCGGCCTTGTAGGTTGTGCAAGTCTATACAATTCTTGCAGAATTTTAAGTCGTAAACATTATATCATAACACTAGTCCGTTGTGCTTTAGACTTACTTTCGTAGATTAATACGTGTCTTGCACGATTACGATGTGCCTCATAGAACCGTAACAAGTGTTATCACGACACTTGGTTTAATACATTTTTGTGCAATGTTTGAATTTTTAGGCTTTATATGAATTCTGTACATAATTGTGTTCAAGTCACAGTCATATCTTGGATTATTTGCATAACTCAGTTTTGTAGGTAATTAGTTAATCCACTATTATGACCATAAATGTATGTTTCATTTTATGGATGTTTAAATGTCCGATCGAGGAATTATATTGATTGTGAATGATTGTAATAATTATTTGCACGGTGGGGCACCGTATAGTATAATTGTTTTTCTAGACAAGCACGTAAAGCTATCAAAGTTATAGGGTCGATTTTATAATTGTATTATATTTTTTATCGTGGCTACATGTTTGTGAAAACAGAAGAAACAACGATCGACGATCCTCGACAACTCGGCCAGCCATGTCCCGACTCGATCACTGTGTATGGCCACGCACAGCAACACGCTGGTTGCTGGCCATTTGCTGCCGCAAGACCCAGGTGCGCGGGCTGTGGTGCTAGCGACGTGAGCGTGAAGATTGTCGTAGCAAGGGTGTGGCGGATGGCCTCGAGGGGCTCAGTGCATGTCCGACGACGTTGGGCTACCTTAGGTGACTCGACAAAGGCTTGATGGAGGCACTAAAACTCGGCGATGGTGGCCCGATGAACACGACACGAGAGACACTGATGACGCGGGCCTTTTTCAAGTATTCAGAAAAATTACCCCGACAACGGCGCACTCCGGCAACGTCCGGCGACAGTTTGGCTACTGTGGAAGGATGCGCCCTATTAGAGAAAGGAGACTGGGTGTCTTGAGTGGTAAGAATTCAAATTCTAGAAGGAAAACGACATTTTAATTTGAATTAGAATTTCTAGTTTCCAACTAGAAATTGGATTCTTCAATAATGGCCTTAATTGGGGATTCTTCAATAGTGGCCTTAATTAATTAACTAAATTGCCAAAATTGCATGGAGACAGAATTGGAAAGCATATTTAATTAATTAATTGCTAAGGTGGCATATAAATTAATTATGGAATTGCATATTAAAAATCATAATTTTATAATACTAAGTAGGAGAAAGAAATTTTAGAGTTTAGCTTATTTAAAAAATCCTACGACCTCAGTTATTAGCTTTTAGATGATACATTTAATTGTGTTTCAAAAACAANAAAAAAAAAAAAAAAAAAAAAAAAAAAAAAATTACTCTGATTTTTCAAAGCTAGTAAGGCGGGGTGCCACAGAAGCTGGTACCACGACCAAACGAGGACACTGTAACAAATTAATTGTTTGACATTAAATCGTAAATACCGAGTCATATCTTGGAGTCAAGAGCAATTCGACAAGTGGAATATTCTCCAAGTCAAATTTATTATATTTCCTTATTCCATGATTTAGTTAATTATTGACTAAATTCTTTTAATAATTTCATAGGAATATGAAAGGATTGTTTACCATACGAAGTCAAAGATTGCAGAATGACGACACTTACCATATTAAGAGAGAAGGATGCATATACTGAAATGATTAAAACAACTTACTATATGCGAAGAGAGGAGATTGAAACAGATGAAATTATTGAACGTAAATAAGGAAAGAAGCAGACTGGAAGAACTTACCTTATGGAGCAGCGTATATAAGGCTTGCACATACACTATCTTTTAACTTACGTCTTCAGATTATCTTCATAGGGCGGTCTGTGCAATTTGAGCAATCGGTGACTGACTAGAGTTATATTTCTTTTAGTTTATTGAATACTCGAATCAGAGAGCATGTTCTTTGATTTGATCATATGTTTTTGTTTGAACATTCTTGGCGTTTAGAAAATATACACCGCAAGGGAGTCATGTTGTAAAATTCTCCGAGGAGTGGCTCGAAAGTAATTGAGCGAAGTGATTCTTGCGTTGATTAGGAAGAGGGAGTCTTCTGTATAATTCCTAGTTGTAATGGGCCAAACATTTTCTTTAATGAAAGAGTTCCAAATGGAGAGTGGAATGCTCTCCTAAAGGTCCAATTTTTGGTTGAATTGCTTTCGCATTTGAGTAAAGGAGACGGGCTTATCAACCTTATCCGGGCCCTTGGTCTTAGCCGTCGACAAGGCTCCTCCGACTTCTACCACTCCAATCAACTCACTATTGGATTCATGAGCTCTGGTTCTCCGGTTTCTTGGAGCCCTCAGGCGACGGCCGCGAAAAATTATCCGAGTTTCCCGCCAGCCATGGGGTTTCTCCGGTGCTCTTGAGGATGACGTCGGTCTAGTTTATGGGTGAAAAAGGCCAGCAATGTCGTCCGGTTCTTTTCGGCTCCCTGCCGCCGGAGCTCTTATTGAAAAATTTCTCCCTCCCAGCATTTGACCTTATCCTTACTTTGACCTACCAACAAGGTATGATTGGAGGCGCCCCACTCGCTAACCCTAAACCTCAGCTAACTGACGTTTTTCATTATGGGCTGCTCCTGAGGCCCACTTCGGCCCCAGATCTCTGCCATTCTCTTGGGCCAACGCCTAAGGCCCAACGTTTTCAACCCGACCCATCCCAGCCCACCCTCTTAACTAAACCCACCTATCCAAATCAGACCCCAGCCCACCCTTCTCACTTCCAAAACAGATCCCAGCCCACCCTCTTATCTAAATTGTCTAATCAGACCCTAGCCCAAAAAGCCATCTTTACCTTTTCCCAAACTTCAAGCCCTTCCCCGGTGGCAACCTCTTCCAGCGCCCTACCGGCGGCTGACGGGCCCTCACCTCTAGCGAACGCCCAGACCTCCGGTGCCAGCTCCGGCGGCCCCAACCAACCCCTCTAGCATTTCTTATTTGGCGACTGATCTTCTTAGCCCTGGACGCAATTTTCTGACGGGTACTGATTTTATGGCTTCCTACACCTTAGCCCCGCTCCCTGGAGACCCACAGTTTGCTCAGCCCCCGACGGGCTCCTCTCCAATCATTTTCGATCTCTATTGTGCAATATGATAGTCGTGATAAAGTGCAACATGTAGACCTATAAAGTGCAATAATGTAATTTTGGTACGTTAGCTTGATTGTGTTTTGTGTTAATAAATAATGTGATTGTTGTTAAATAGTTATGTTTATCTGTTTTTAGATTTGGTTGTGTGACATTTCAAAGGGAGATGTAGACGTTAATTGTAGAGCGTGTTGAAGTACAACATGTTGTTTTATAAAGCGCATCAAGCTGATATATAAAGTGCACTACTTTATTTATTATTATAAAAGTATATTTATTATTTTAAATATTTTTTATATATTAAATTTACAAACAAAAATTTTATCAAATTATTTGTATTATAAAAATATATGTAATATTTACGATTTTGTTATTTTCTATTTTATATTATTGTTCGTTGAAAAACAATAATGTGCACTCGCAGTCAACTGAATTAATATAAATATTCGAAATGAATTATTATGTATATAATGTGCATTTTATTTATAATTAGAATATATTTATTAGACTTTCTATAAATTACAGATTTGGCACTTGAACCAAATTGAAATATAATCAAATTTCATGAAATTTAATTAAGTCCTTGCGATTTATCTAATTTTAAAAAAATGACCTAAACCCAAATTCCTTTTCCTCTACCCCACCACCGTACGCCAGCCCCTATCTGGCCGACGACATTCGGCGACGCTGACTTCAGTGATCTTTTGTCGTTCACCGTGTAATTCCTCCCGCCATGACCCAACTGTTGTTTAAAAAAAAAAAAAACGTCATTAATGGCCGCGTGCCATTGTATGTCGGCTCTTTGGTGTTAGCACCAGCTGCACCTTAAGCAGCGAGGTGGAATAAGGGTAACAGTTACGATGGCGGCCAGTTACCGGATGGAGGAGGATGTCGGAGATGTCGAGTTTGACGACGGAAATTCGGAACTCCAGCGGAGTGTTAGCACGACTTAAAAGGCGGACGGGCGGCGGCACCTAAGCTGGTGGTCAGGCCTAGTGCCTGCATGGGTTGGGATATGGCGCCGGTGTTGAGTCCGGCGGACACTCTGTGTGTGTGTAACGGGACACTATGTGTATGTGTGTGTCCCGGTGTATATATGTGTGTGTGTGTGAGAGAGAGAGAGAGAGAGAAAGAGAGAGAGAGGTGTGAGAGAGAGTTAATGAGAGAGAAACGTGTGAGAATTTAATGAGAGAGAGAGAAACGTGTGCGTGTGAGAGTTTATTGAGAGAGAGAGAGAGAGAAACATGAGGGGCCACGTATGAGTTGGTGTTGTGGATAAATAACCACATTACTGATAATTAAGGCATAAATTTGACTTTTTTTTCAACCATTAGATCATGCGATCTTACGGCTACGATGTATTAGCATTTCTTTCACTGAACACCTTTTTTCATTTTTTTTTAAGTAAACAACACCCTGGAAGGGTGGAGGGTTAAGACCAGACCTCCAACCTGTATATAAAAAGGCCCCAAAATGGGATAAATAGTCATAAGTCTACAAGTCTAATATCCAAGCAACATCCTTCCAAAGTAAAGAGATCAAACAAAAAAACAAGAAAAAATAGACAACGATGGAAAATAACACCAAAAAACTCAATCCTAGTCCGGGAAAAGTCCATGCGAAGAGTCAACATCACGAGAGGGCAGAAGCACCAAAATGTAGGACCAACTACCCAAATCTGAACGACGAGTATCCCAACTGGTCCATCTGTATAAGGGTACGAAGACGGAGAGAAATATCGTCAGGATAAAGGATGCGCCTTTGGGGGATGGAGGTCCCGATGCAGGCAAGAAATTCAGTAAGCCGATTTCCCTCACGAAAGATGTGTGAGATCCGATAGCGAATCAACTGAAGGTGGCTCTAATACGCATGAGTGGATGCTGAATCTACCACACGCCCTGATGGCCAGAGATCAAGAGTGTAATGACAGCGGAAGCGTCCGACTCAATCCAAATGTGAGAGGAGATCGAGGTAGCAATCTGAAGACCAATCTGAAGCGCCTGAACATCCGCAACATAGCTCGAGGAGGCCCGAAGAGGGGCATGGAAAGCGGTAATAAGAGCACCGATATATATAGGGATGGGTTCACACGAGAATGATAATTCATGAAAGAAATGACAATAAATATCAGCCATCAGATTGAACAATCTATTGGTTGATAAAACAGCTGAAATTATAACATCATTAAGGGTAATATAGACATTTTGACTAATCATCCACCACATCAATCGGTCCCACAAACTAACAGTCCCATTAATTCCGTCCATAATTCCAATCTCTCTCTCTCTCTCTCTCATGCACGCACACACGTAGGCCCACAGATCTTCCATTGTCGTCGTCCTCAATCGCCTACCCATCAACCTCCGACTCAGCCTCGGCATCCACCTCCCTAGCTCCTCCGATCGCCGCCTGTCTCCAACTCTTGTATTCTTCCCGCCTCCTCTTCCCCCATCTCCGCTGCCGACAACGAGAGTCGAGAGGATCCCGTTCCTCGGCCACAGTAACGGCGACACAGAACACAAGGTCCGAAAGCACCGCACCTCCGCCATATACGCCCTAAAAGTCCTACAAGATTTCGCCGGCCCGCCGTCCGCCACCGGGCTCTCGGCGTTCCATTTTCGCCTCACAGCGACTCCCCTAATTTCGCTAGGAACAGATGCACGTCCGATTCGGGAGAAGAAGAGGACCAGGCCGTCAGAGTTGGCCGGAGCCGGCGAGATTTGGCAAAATTGAGTTGTTTGATTATGAGAATTAGATTATTTTTAGGACTGAATTGCAATATTAAATTTTTTTATTACATTTCAATTGAATTCATGTGGTCAAATCTGTAATATTTAAAAATGTATAGAAATATATTATTTTTTTTAATATTTTTATACATGCATATATTATATTATTTCTAAAATTAATATAAAATCCTAAATAAATATAATATAAAATATTAAAATATTATTGGACATATTGCACATTATTGACAGACAGGTTGCACTTTTGTGCTAGTGATATTGCACCTTAGCATAACAAATGCATATGTTTATCAAATTAATAATATAAAATATTAAATACAAAAATCATAAATACTACATATATTTTTTATTTCATATATAATTTGATAAATGCACTGTAATTTTAATTAAATACATATTATTAAAAAAATTTAACATCGAAATGCACATTATCGTTTGGTTTCAATTTGGTTGGGACGAAAGTTTGGTCCGTACAGACTGTCCATAGCTGCAGAAAAACATGCAAATTAATGACCGTCAAGTTGCAATTTTGCGTATGTGATATTGCACTTTAGTGTATGTATCGACCGAAATGAACCAAAATATATTTTTTTCTATACGGATTATATATATCGGTTCGATGTTCGTTCTTTACTTTTAAAAAAGTGGTTATTTCGATTAAGTTTCTTTTTTTTGTTTAACAATCAATTGACATACGTATATAAAAATAATTTTTTTAAAAAATTTTATTATAACTTTTCAACCAAATAATAATTAAAAATATTAAGCTACTAAATATATTTGTATGATATAAATTATAAATTGTTTTGTGTTTTAAGATTAATTTGGTTAATTGAACTAATAAAGCGATTAATTCGGTTACGTTTTAATTTGTTTTGGACAAATCAGTAAAAAAGAATGCACTGCGATTGCACATTATTGCATTACGAGTTGCACATTAATACCTATGGTATTAACAAACTAAAATTACAAAACTTATTGTGCATTTTCTCACCTAATTTTGTGCGTTTTATATATCATTAATGTGCATGTGTTGGACTTTTAGTAAATTACAAATTTGCCACAAATACTAAAATGCAATTATACTAAAAGTTATGAAATTGCATAAAGGTCCTTGTCACTTATCTAATTTTCTAAAATAAGTCCCTATCTCTAAGATAATGCTTCACCTTCCTGTCTGTCACTGTCGCTCACCACGTCGACCTGAAAACTATCCCTAAAATACTCTCGCCATGAAGACTATGCTGACGTTGGCTCTCCCTTCGCCTGGAGCTCTGGCGAGAATGGCGAGCTCGTTCTTTGTATATTCTCGGCGGAGATACTCTGCACTCCAGCGGCTATCTCGACGGTGTCCGATGCGGTGGCTTGTGGCGTATTTCGATGGCCCTGAGCAGGGACACATGGTTTAGACATTTTCTCCGATTGATTCTCGCCGGAGTTTAGAAAGTCTGCCTTGGCCAGCGAGTCTCCGACGAGATGTAGGGACGGGTCATATTGCAAACGGCGACGGGAAGGTTTTGTCGATGGGTGGCGGAAAGCTTCTGTCGATGGCGGGGTGGTGGACAGCTGCCGGAGGCGAAAATGTGTGTGTGTGCATCTGTGGCGAGTGGCAGCGGACGTGTGGCTGTCAGAATCTGGCGTTGGCGGCTAGCAGCGGGTGGTGGCAGGCGGCATTGGACGGCGGCTAGCGGCAGTGGAGATATTGCCGCTGAGATTGTGCAGGTCGATATGTTTCAGAGAATTGAACATGTGTGTGGTATGTGTGGGAGAAGGTGTGAGAGAAAGATATTTTTTATTGGTAGTGGTGGGGCCCACTGGATACAAATGAGTGAGTAAATACCATTATGCCCCCATTTAGTAGATAAATGTGTATATTTGACTTTGAAATATACACTTATTTAAGAAATCGCCATCGCATGTTTGACTGACATATGACAAATACGTGAACCCCAATTCGTTTCCCAAAAACCCTTGCTTTTGATATTCACAGGAGCCGAATATATAATGATACAAAGGAAGCCCTAAGACCAATATACACCAAATCTCTAAGATACCAAAAATTTATCTATACCAAAAATACAATATTCACAAAATCACTCTAACACCCCTCCCTTAAGTTGGAGCATGCGGATTCCGGATGCCCAACTTGCCAAGAAAAAAATCAAACTCGCATTTTCCCAAGGCCTTGGTGAAGATGTCCGTCAATTGAGAATAAGTGGAAACATGAGCTGTAGAAATGAGACTTTGAACAAGAGCATCATGAAGAAAATGGCAATCGACTTCAATATGCTTCGTGCGCTCATGAAATACAGGATTCGCAGCAATGTGCAGAGCTGCTTGGCTGTCACAATGAATCCGCATGGGCTGAGAATGAGTGACGCCAAGGCTGTGAAGTAAACCCTTCAACCATTTCAACTCACAAGTAAGGGTTGCCATAGCTCGATACTCGACCTCGGCAGAAGACCGGGCTACAGTGTGTTGTTTCTTGGTGCGCCAAGAAAGGGGTGAATGACCAAGCTGGACAAACCAGCCCGAAAGAGAACGGCGTGTAGTGGGACAAGTCGCCCAATCAGAGTCACACCAACCGTAAATCTGCAAGTCACAATCTGAACGAAGAAGAATATCCTGACCTGGAGTACCCTTCAAAGAACGAACTACCCGAAGAGCAGCATCCCAGTGGGCCTGACGAGGTTGCTGCATGAACTGAAACAGAGTATGAACTGCATAAGACAAGTCAGGACGAGTGACTGTCAAATAATTCTATCGCCCAACGAGACGCCGATAATGCTCGAGGTCAAAAAAGAGAGGACCGTCTGCTAAGGAAAGCTGGTGATTCTGTTCCATGGGAAAATCCACCGGTTTACCGCCAAGTAGACCAGTTTCGGTCATAATGTCAAGAGTGTACATCCGCTGGCACAAGAAAATGCCCGAAGAATTCCTAGCAACCTCAATACCCAGAAAATATTTCAACAAACCCAAATCATTCATATGAAAACAGCGACCCAAATAATCCTTAAAGGCAGTAATGGCGAATGGATCGCTTCCAGAAATGCGCAGATCATCAACGCAAACCAGAACATGTAAACTCAATGAGTAACGGTGAAAAACAAACAGTGAGTAATCAGAATATGACTATTGAAAACCGTAGTGTCGTAGAATAGAAGCAAGCTTCGCAAACAAACATCGAGGAGCCTGCTTTAAACCATACAAAGAACGGCGTAACCGACACACCTTACCAGGATCAGGCGAATGAAAACTAGAAGGAAGCTTCATATAGACCTCCTCAGACAGATCCCCATGTAAGAATGCATTGTGCACATCCATCTGATGAACCTCCCAATGTCGGGCAGCTGTAACAGCAAGAAAAGTCCGTACAGTAACCATCTTGGCGACAGGTGCAAATGTCTCCTGATAGTCAATGCCCTCCACCTGCCGGTTACCCAAGACAACCAAACGTGCTTTGTAGCACTCAACAGAACCATCAGAGTTATATTTAATCTTATAAATCCACTTGCAATCACTAGCGTGTTTTCCAGTAGGAAGAGAAACAGTATCCCACGTACGGTTCGATTCCAATGCTCGAATCTCTAGTTGCATAGCCGAACGCCAGCGACTATCTCGAACAGCCTCAGAAAAGGTCTGAGGCTCAACAGCAGAAGAAATGGCTACTAGAAATGACGATGTGCAGGTGAAAATGAATCACAAGAAACATAGTGTGCGAGAGGGTAAGGAGTACCAAACGATGACGCGATGAAGGAGGTAGAGTGGGGGGACGAGGAACAAATAGTGTTAGAAACAAAGTCAGCAAGACGGGAAGAGGGCCTCTTGAGATGATGACCACGACCCAGCACTTCCTCGTCGGGAGGATTACCCCCCCTATCGACAATGACCTCAGAACCCCCTGTGGCAGCAGCACATGTTGTAGTGGGAAGCACCACATCATCATCGTCGTCAGGAATAGCAGACCATGGAACCATAGGTACGGAGGCAGTATCAATAGCAGGAGACGTAAAATAAGGGAACTCTGATTCACAGAATTTCACATCACGTGAGACCAGAAAAGTGTGGTTGTTCAAATCATAAACACACCACCCCTTTTGACAAGAGGGATAGCCAACAAAAACACATCGACGACTCCGACTTGCAAACTTGTCACGTTCTCTTTTCTGATTGTGAACGTAACACAGACAGCCAAAAACACGTAAGTGCGCATAGTTAGGAGGTTCTCCATACAAAAGTTCATAGGGAGTCTTGTCGGATAAAAGAGGAGTAGGCGTTCGATTAATCAAATAGCCAGCAGCAAGTACACAATGTCCCCAGAACTCAATAGGTAAATGGACTTGAAAGCGTAATGCTCGAGCAACATTAAGAATGTGCTGATGTTTGCGCTCAGCACGCCCATTTTGTTGCGGAGTTCCGACACAAGAAGTTTCATGAACAATCCCCTGTTGACGGAAATAATCACGCATACAAGTAAATTCAGTCCCATTGTCACTGCGAACAGTTTTAACCAACACACCGAATTACCTTTTGACAAAAGCAAAAAATTGCAGTAAAGTGGAAGACACCGAAGATTTGTCATCCAATAAGAAAATCCAAGTACCGCGAGAATAGTCGTCAACAATAGTTAAAAAATATCGAGCACCACTAAAGGCATGAACTCTATACGGTCCCCACACATCACAATGAATCAGACCAAAGATGGAACTACTGACACTTCGACTAAGAGGAAAACTAGCACGAGATTGCTTCGCCAGACAGCAAACATCACAAGTTTTATTCGAGACCAAAGAGGAGACTCAACAAAAGGCAATTGACCAAGGACAGCAGAAGAGGGATGACCCATTCGCTGGTGCCACAAGGGCTGCATAACGGAGGACACCCGAGAAGCATTGGCACCGATTGCCCCTCGAAAAAAATATAATCACCACAACTGCTCTCCCGCTCCAATCACCATCCTCGAAGCGAGGTCCTGAATAGCACAATATGTACTAGTGAAGGTAGCAACACAACCAGATTGCTCCAACAAACGAGACAATGATATCAAGCTGCACTGAAGACTGTCAATGAACAAAACATCATATAAAATAATACGAGAACCGAGATGAACAGTGCCAGCTTTTCACGCAGTTGTGAGCGTGCTATTAGGTAACTGCACAGATCGGGGAGGAATATCCCGAATATCGGAAAAAAATCCAAATAGCACGTCATATGATGTGAGGCACCAGTATCATACATCCACTCATAAGGACTATGCTTAGCCGACAAAGGAGCAGAGGTGCAAAATAGACTCCAATTGGGCACCAGTCAATCCAGAAATAGCCGCCCGATCGGAGTCCGTCAATGAGGATGTTGACCCGCCATGTATGGAGCCAAAGGTACTAAGTGCAACCCCGTTAGCGAAGGCGGAGTTGACAAGGGCTGGACCACCGCGACTGACAACAGCTGGTCCGTCAACCGAGGAAGAAGAAGAAGCCATGATGTCTCAATTGGTCGAGACTTAATAGAAGCAAATTTTGGAATTTTTTTTAACCACTCACGGCAACTCACAAAAAAAATCAAACAC